AAAATGCCGTGTTGGTATATGCAACAACATGGATGGATTTCACACACATAATGCTGAGCAAAATAAACCAGACACAAAAAGAGAATACTTTGTAGGCCAGGTGCAGCGGCTCACGCCTGTAATCCCAGCACTCTGGGAGGCTGAGGCGGGAGGATCGCTTGAGGTCAGGAGTTCGAGACCAGCCTGAGCAAGAGTGAGACCCCCCATCTCTACTAAAAATAGAAAAATTAGCCAGGTGTAGTGGTATGCGCCTGTAGTCCCAGCTACTTGGGAGACTGAGGCAGGAGAATCAATTGAGCCTAGGAGTCTGGGGTCGCAGCAAGCTATGATGACACCACTGCACTCTAGCCAGGATGACAGAGCGAGACTCTATCTCAAAACAAAACAAACAAACAAAAAGCCACTCTGAATAATGCCATTTATATGAGGTTCAAAAACAAGCAGAGCTAACCTTTGCTTTTGAAAGACAGGATAGAATTACTTTTAGGAATAGTACTGACGGAGAGGAGCCACAGGGGAGATTTCTGGAAATGTTTTGTATCTTGATCTGGATGGTGGTTAAACAGATGTATACATATTCAAAAATTCATTGAGCTGTACCTTTAAGATTTGTGCATTTCACTGTATGAAAGTTAAACTTAAAAAAAAAACCTTTAACAAACCATTACCCAATCTTGCACCCCCTCCAGCCACCATATATTTCTTTTCTCTACTTCATGGCCACAGTTATCAGTTGTTTGTCTGTACTTGGTGTTTCCATTTCTCCGTGGCCCATGCATGTCTCAGTCCACTACCACCTGGCTTCCCCATCCCCTTCAACCCACCAAACAGCTGTTCCTAAGGTCTTCCAGTGACCTCGGTGTCAGAGAATCTAAGGACCATTTGTCTTCATCTTACTTGACTTCTAAAAATCACTGGACACGCCTTCCATTTTAAATCATTCCATATCCATGCTGTCCAATATGATAGCCAGGAGGGATATGTGGCTCTTTAACGCCTGAAATGTGGTTAGAATGACTGAGGAATCAAGTTTTATTCAATACTTTTAAAAGCTCCCCAGATGATTATAATGTGCAGCAGAGTTAAGACCTCCTGCTCTAGTCCCCCACCCAGTGCTTTCATCCAGACTCATGACTTTAATTTCTAAACTATAAACTACTTTGTAAAACCAGCCGAATCATTCCTCCTAACTTCACAGCAATATATCTGCCTGCCTACTTGGCACCTTCTCTTGGGCACCTCAAATGCGACATGTTTGAAACCGAACCCCATCCCCTCCCAGCGTTCCCCATCACAGCTCAGGGCCCCACCATTCATCCAGCTTTAGAAACCAGAAACCTAACAGTCCATTCAATGCCACCATATTTTCTTGTAAACATCTCTTTCATGCATTTCCTTCTCTCCCTCTTACCATAGTTTAATCAAGCTACCATCCACCTCTGGCTTGACAACTGCAATTGCCTCCTGGCTGGTCCCTCTGCTTCTACTCCTGCCCTCTGCCATCTCACAAAGGCAACCAGGACGTCCTCCTTAAAACTCTTCAATATCTCCCTTCCAAACAGCCCTGTTGATATCATCTGGCCCCTGCTGACCTCTCCCACCTCATCTCCCATAACATTGTCCTCCCTCTCTCTCCTCCAGCCCCAGTGACCTTCTCTGAGCCCCTCATACACTTGTGCTCCTTGCCACCCCCAGACCTTTGTCTGTGCTGTTCCCTCCATGTGGAACGCTCTTCTCTCTTGGCCTTCTCATCCGTCAGCTCTCAGCCCCACAGCACTTCCTCAGGGCAGCTTTCCAGACCAGGTCAAGTCCCCCTATCACGTGACATCACAGCACCATGCGAGTCTCACTCACAGCATTTATAACAATTTGTGATCATGTATAAATCATACATGGTGAGATTGTTGTGTTATTTTATCGCCCACTTTCAGTCTTGCACACTGGACCGTAAGGTCCGCGGGGGCAGGCACGGCACCTGTTTGTTTTTTTTTTCTTGTCTGCTGTATCCTTGCATCTGGCACATAATAGATGCTCAGTAAATATTTATTGACTATATGAATGAATGAAAAGTCCAATTTAAGTCCAAGACTAGCATTAAGGCTGGAACCAAAGGCAGGACCAAGGTCAGGTCTAGGACCACGGACAGTGTCTGGGACTGGAAATTGGTTAGACACAGCAGCCAGGGCAGAGGCAGAGTCAGAGACCAGGCCAGGGTGGATCTTGGCAGGACCAAAGGGTACAAGCACTTTGGAAAACTGTTTGGCAGAATCTACTAAATTTACTAAAGCTGAACATATGTAAACTTTATGACCCCAAAATTCCACTCCTAGGAATATATCCAACATAGCAGTACTACTCATACTAGCCCCAAACTGGGAACTACCCAAAAGTCTCACATCAGTAGAATGGATTAAATAAATTGTGATTTATTCACACATTGGAATAGCTACAATTATACGCAGTAGTGTGGACGGATCTTATTAACAGGAAGCTGAGGAATGAAGCCAGACACGTAAGAGAATATGCTGCGTGATTCTATTTATGTGAAGTTTGAGGAGAAAGAGCGTTAATCTGCAGTGCTCCAAGTCAGAAGTGTGGTACTCTTGGGGAGCGGTGGTCAGAAGGGGTGTGGGGGAGTTCTGGGGTGCCGAGAGTACCTTGTTTCTTGATCTGGGCGATGGTTACCCAGTCGTGTGTGTGGAATTCCCTGAGGCAAGGATTGGGGAGCACAGACAGGCAAGGGTTTGAGAGGAAGGTAGCAGGGCACCCAGGGTGACATCGGAGGGAGGGTTACGGAGGCGCCGGTCAGGATTCAGCGCAGGCGAAGCTTGAGAGAGGTGTTGGCAGGTGCCCAGCTCTTCCAGACAAGAGAGGCTGGACAGAAAAGGAGGGCAGGGTGGGTGGTGGAAACGCTGACTGGTGAGGAGTGGGGGACGTGTCACTGGTGAGAAAGGAGGGGCGGTGACACACGCACACACACACCCAATACACACACATTTCCTGGCTTCCTACTCTTAAAATGCTCCTCTGGATCAGAGAAAAAGGAGTTTTCAGGGCTACTGGCCATCGCACTCTGCTGCCAGCCAGCGAGAGATGGGAGCTGGACACAGGCAAGAGTGTTTCCACACCGAGAAGCACCCCGCCCAGGAAAGCCCAGGCAGAGAGGCATGGCTGCAGAGCGCTGCCTTGCCTGTGCCCCCGGCCCTTCTCCCAGCTTGTGGTGTGGCCTCTGATAAAAGGTGCGCCCTGGCCTACCCTCAAATCCTGGCACCTGTGTCCAAGGCCATGCAAATCACCCCCACATCATAGGGTGCAAGCACACACACATATGTGTACTTGTGCTCATCCACAAATACAGACATGAACTCACCTGTACATAGGTACACAGGCACACACACACACGCACACAATCTCCCTTTCAGGTTTCCTCCACATCCAGCCATTGGGTGATGCCTAAGAAAGCTGATTTCTCATTGGCTCAGAGGGTAGCTGTGTGAGTCAATGAACTTAGCTGGAGTGAGGGAGGCCCTTCCCAAGTGGGGAGCACAGGATACCTGGCCCTATCCCCTGCCATACTTCCCCACACCCCTGGTGGCCTCTGGGAGCCGTCCAGTACCCCTCCAAACCACTGCATCCTGCAGCTTTCCCCGTGCGGTAGGGGGAAGGGGAGAGGGTCTTTGCAGCAGGAAGGGGCGAAGAGAGCCCACCAGCTTCCCTGGAAAGCTGATGTGACTGGTTGAGAAGAGAGAACAGGCACCCACAGATCACACCCCCAGAGCTTCTTTCCAAATCCCCCTCCCCTGCCCTGTCTCCACCCCCTCCAGCTCCCCTCTTTCAATTCTTGGAAGAATTCCACTCTTCTCTCAGAACCCGGCAAGCAAAGAATTTGGGTGTCTCTTGTGTCTCCCCCTCACCATCCCTGCTACTGCTATATCTGGGGCACCTTTCTGCAGTGTGTGTATGTTGGGGGGAGATGTGGCCTCACCCTCTTGGCACCCTCCCCACAATTGGAGGGCTGGCAGGCATGGGGGCATCTTCCCAAACTGTGACTCAGCTTCCCGGGTATTCAGTGTTGTGGCCAACTTTGACACTTTGCTCATCAGGGACTGTAGGTCCCATGGGGTGGGGAGAGAGGCTGGCTTCCATGAGGGATGTTCCAGAGATGGGGGGTTCTGGTCCCACCCCCATGCCTTCCTCTGACCCTCCTGCCACACCCTCAGTTGAATCTGGCAATGAGTGAAGGTAGAAGGATTCTAGAAGTGTGAGGGTCGGGAGAGAGTATGGAGGACTCCCAGATATTGGGCTGAAAACAGGTGGGAAGGGGGTGCCAGGGAGGGGCGAGTTGGGGGATTCAGATGCCCCTTATTCTGGGGGCTCACGGGCCGGGGGAATGGAAAAATTAAGAGAAAAGATTTCTGAACCCCGAATGTAAAAGGGTCAGTGGGTGTTGGGGGGCAGTGAGAGATAGGAAGGCAGGTTCTGGTCCTGCACCAAGTGCCCAGGACCGGAGCAGAAGGAAGTTTGAGGAATTGAGGCACTGGGTCCCCAGGGATTTGGAGGCAGGGCCGGTGGGGGAAAGGGGAGGAGGCTGGAGATCCGGGAAGCGGGGGCGGGCAGGGGGCCGGCGGGCAGCAGCTGTGCTGTTTCCGAGTTGCTTCCCAGTAGTTCCTCTCCGCTCCACTTCCAGTTGTTTCCAAGCCATTAAATTCTTTCCAGGCGAGATAAGGGGTTCGCCCGCCCTGCCCAGGGTGTGTCACATGTATTGGGGTGGGGAGGTTCAGACAGACAGAAGTAGGGGGAGCCTAGAAAGGGGACGGAGTGAAGACAGAATCCCTGTGCCCCTAGGGGCAACTCTCAGCCATCCCAGCCCTGCTGAACCGTGAGTCATGGGTGCAGAGCTCTGGCCAAGAACAAGTTCTAGGATCCTCTCTGTAGGCTCCGTGCCCGACCTGAGCGTCCTGACTTTGCCCCGTTTCAGCATTTCCTAAAGAGAACCCCCAGACCTCCCTTCCAGACCTCTCTTCCTGCAACTCCCGTGCTGCCACCTGGGGAGTCCCCATCCGGATGCCCAGGGAAGCTCCCTGAAGCTCCCTTTGGCACCTCCCGGAGCCCTGGCTCAGCTGCTCCAATCCCAGTGCTCGAGACTCCACCAGCACTTTCCTCCCGGGGTTCAGCTGGCCACCACCTCAGCCCCCCAGCTCCGCACCTCACCTCACCGATGACCCACAACCGCCACCCGCTGCTTCCACCACCTGACTCCTGGAGTCCCTACGTTTGTTCTCAGCCTCTTAGGTGTCTGCATCCCATCCAAACCCTGGCGCGCAGACACACACACTGCCCCGTCCACCCAGATACACCTTCCGCAGGGCGTCTGGTCCCCAGTGCATGCTCCTGTTTCCTCTGTCCAGAACAGAAGAAAGTCCCTGCCCTGGGAAGCACTCCTGAGAACTCTCCTGCCACACTTTAACCCAGGGTCGGGGGATCAGAGAGAAACAGAAACCCCTTGCCTCTTCCTCCTCCTCCATCTGGGTCTCCCCAGAGCTCTGTTTCTTACCTGGGCAACCGGTGGCTGCAGTGCCTCTGCACCTGCTCTGTCCCCAATCTCGGGAGGGGGGTGTCTCAGGGCAGGGCAGGGTGGGTCCCCTTGGCAGCCCTTGGGTCCCTTGGAGGTCCCTCTTGCTCGTCCCCTGCAACAGGGGTTCAATGAGCCACGACCAACCGACTGTTGATCTCGGCAGGCAGCGACAGTGAGGAGGGAGTCTGCAGCCAGCAAGGGGAGGAGAAGGGGAGGACCAGCATGAGGTCAGGGAGGGGAGTGGAGATAGGGCAGGTCCTCCTACCGCTCCCAGGCCCTCCCCCATGCCACCCCTCCTCTCCTCCTGCCATGGCTGCAGCCCCTCCCTGTCTGTCTAGCATCACCAAGTCCTACCATAACCTAATCTCACCTCTCCATCCCTGGTCTCACTTCCCGTGTCCTTTCCCTGTCCCGTTTTTAACTCCCACCCTAACTTTTGCCCAACTTGACATTCCCTATCCTTCCTGCCATTTGTCTTTTCCCCACCATTTCCCCACCTGTTGCCCCTCCTCTCCGACCCCAGTGTTCTGTTGTCTGCCTACATCCCTCCTCATGGCCAGCCCCTCCCGCTCCCCTCCCACCTCTTCCCAGCCGCTGCTCTAGCTGGATCTCAGATCTCAGATCTCAGGGGATCGCCCCAGATCCATTGCTCAGTGCTGGCTCCTTCATCCTCCCACCAGTTCTCCCCTGGCAGTGTATGGCAGGGTACAGAGGTGGGGGGCAGGAGGCAGAAGGTGACCTTCCTCTCCAACTCTGGGTCTCCAAGTCCCTGCCCTGCCCCAACCCTGCCGTCTCTTCCTCTATTTTCCCCACTTGCCTGTCCCTGAGCTGCCTCTATTGTCCGTCATGACCAGTCCGTCTCCTGCTCTCAGCCCAGGATCACTAACCCCTTTTCATTCTCCCACCCAGCACATTCCTAAAGAAATGGCAGGTGGGGCTTGGGCACTGGCTGGGCAAGGCCTTGGCTGAACACCTGGATATAAGCCTTGGGAAGGAAGTTGGGGTGCAGGGGAGACATGGGAGGAAAGCCTGAGGTTAGGAGGAAGGTGTAGAGGTGGAAGGCAAATATGGGGGGGCATGGGAATTGAGGGTGCTGCAGGAAGCAGGAGCAGGGGTGCAGGGAAACAGGGATGGGGGAGGGCACTCTGCCGCTGGCCCAGGCAGCAGAGGGCTGACCGGAGCGCAGGGCACACAGCGGGGCAGACACCCTGCATGAGCCTGCTGGCTGCTTCCCTGGCCTCATTCTCCACGTGCTGCCCTGACGAGGGGCTGGAAAAGAGACTTCGCTATGGAGAACTGTCCACTCCCGGCTCCACGGTGAAGACAGAGGTCTCTCTATCCCACAGCAAACCTCACCAGTGAGGTGTACCTTGGCCAAGTCACGGGCGACAGTGACAGAGACTTCGTGAAAGAGCCTGCACGTGCCTGATCCTGCCACATGGGTCGGGACAAGGTGTGTGCACGCCAGGTCAGACCCCACGATCGCAGGTGTGCTGGTGTTCCCGGGTCAGGGCATGCGGGCACAGCACGTGGCTGTGGCCAGACGCCCACTTAGCATGTGGCTGAGGGCAAAGACACGCATGGGCACTCGCGTGGGTGTCCCCGTGTGTGTCCGTTTGGGTGTGTGTGGCTGTTTTTTTCCTGGCTTTGATGGGGAGGATGAAGTCAGCATCTTGGACGGAGCTGGGCTTAGCTTCCTTCCTTTGCCTTGGCGTGAAGCCCCCAGAGCCAGGAGTAGGTAGCCGCTTCCCTCAGATCTCCTGGCGGGGGTGTGGTGGAGGCACAGGAGAGCAAGGGGAGCGAGGGTCTGGAAGCAGCATTACAGAGAAAGCAGACTGCACGGAGTACGGATTTTCTCTGGCACCCCCAGATTTCTGTTCCGTGGCCACATCCATTTCTTTCCCCTGTGCCCTGTCTTGGTTTTATTACTTAGGAAGTATGGTCACCATATTTGGCTCAGAGAGTAGCCAGGAGACCCTGGAGAGAAGAGCCAGATGAGTGGTCCTGGGATGCTTTAAAAGCCCACTGCTGGGGTCCGAGAGAGGAATGCGGGTTTCCAGATGTTCCGGTGGCATTCGGAGAAGCCACTGGAGGCTTGACAGACGTAGTTCCATGTTCCGAAATAACCGTTGTCTAAAATTTGATTCACCCCCAGTTTTCAGGCTCTTGGAGCGGCTCATGTCGCGGAGATCGCGGACGCCCACTCCACGCCTGTCGGTTCTGCAGTGTGAGGACTGGGAGCGAGAGACGGGAAAGGACGGCGTCCGGGCGCAAAGGCAGGGACGCACAGCGGTCAGAGCAGGACCTGCCCCATGAGCTGGCTGTTCTCTGGATCCTCAGTCAGGTGTCGGGTGCTGAGCCTCCACCCTTCAGTGACTGACCTCAGGAGGATGAGGGATAAAGGCAGAGGAAAGAAGGAAAGGGAAAGACAGGGAGAAGAGAAGGAAGACACAGAAGAGTAAGGGCAACTGAGGGCAACGACCTGAAGGATGAAGAGGGGAAGGAGGAGCCGGCGGCTGCGATCCAAGGGAGCAGGCCCAGGGAGGGAAAGATAGAAAACACTTGTGCTCGGCTTCCGTTTACAAAGCAGTTTCCTACAGGCGCAGGCACCAGTCCCACTTTGTGGCTGAGGAAATGGGGACACACAGACCTTAAGTGGCTTGTCCAGGGGACTTTGCTAGTGCTGGTGAAGGTGGATTTTACCCAGGTTTTCGCTCCCCTCCCCCACCAATAGCTCTGGGATGGGAAAAGATTGAAGGGGGCAAAAACAAATGAAGCGGCTTCTTGAAGGACTTGTAGAAGGAAGGGTGGAGACTCTGGATTTTTGAAACTTCCTTCTGCATCCAGTTACTGTGTAGCTTCAGTTAGAAGAAACTGCATCACATGGGGGAGGGTGGCAGCGTCTATATTGGGAACTGGGGTGGGGTGAGGATGGGGACATGGAAAAAAGAAACAGCCGACATGAAAGTGGGAGAGAAGTAAGAGGCCGGGGCTGCAGAGGGGCAAGGGAGTCACGGAAGGGGTTCGGACCCTCAAAGCTTCCTTTGCCTGGAGACATGGGTGTGGGGAGAAGGGAGGAGGAAAGACATTTCTATCTCGTGACAAAAGAAAGTCACACAATTGTTTTGTTCTCTGCTCTGGGGTGGGTGGGCGCCTGTATTTACCAGAGGGACTGAGGTCGCTGTGGCAACCACACATCTGGGCCCCGGAATCCAGATGTGCTGTATCCAGAAGCCATAGCAGAACGATGAGGCAAACATTAGGCTCCCCAGTCCCGGCCCCCACAGCTGGGAAGAGGACAGAGAATTGGAGTGGGGAAGCGAAGGGAGAGGGGAGGAAGGAGGAGGAGAGGATTCAAGCGGGGAGAAGAGAGGAAGCAACGGAAGGGAAGGGGGCAGGGAAGGGGGCAAGGAATGCGGGGACAAGGCGTGGGAAGGGCAATAGAGGAGGTGGCACGAAAAAGGGAGGAGGCAAGCACAAGGGCCAGCAGCAGAGGAGAGGAGAAGACCAAGAAAAAATAAAAGAAAAAGACAGTGAAGCAGGGTATAGGGAGGAAAAAGTACAGAAGTGGGAAAGAAAATGAACCACAGATAAAGGGTGGAATCTGACAGTGACAGCTCACAGCGGGCAGAGGGCAGGGAAAGGCAGGGGTCTAGAGAACAAAACGGGAGTGAGGCGCAGTGGGGTCACGGGGGCTGGAGAAAAGGCAGGGGTCCGGGGAAGGAGAGCAGAACAGGAAGATGAAGAGGGTCTGGGAGGGGAAGAGGCCAATGACATGCAGGAGCGACAGTGGCCTGGCATGCTGAGTGGCCCTGCAGGGGTGTGGCCAGAGGAATGATGTGCACACAGGCCTGGAGGGCACCGGCGCGAGCCCCACCTGCCTTTACCCCCGTGGCACCCCCACTCTGTCGCTCTCAGTCCTTCCCGCCACTCCACTCTCTCAGCCAAGAGAGGTCTGATGTGTGTGCAGTACACACGAAAGTGCCAGCTGTCCTTGCCACTCAGCAGAGGTGCAGCGTGTCCCACCCCAGAGCGCCCAGTCTGAGATGCCAGCACCTCAGTACTTCCTTGAACTGGGGTCAGGAAGGAGAAAGAGCAAGGGGACAATGAGACAGTGATGGACTCAGATGGGATAAAAGCAGAATAGAGGAGAAAAGGACAATGTAAATGGGGAGAGGAGCAAGGGATGAGGAGAATGTGCGTCTCCCATGGACCAGACACTGAGGACATCATCCTTCACCCTCACATCACCCCTGCGGAGGTCGGAGTATCGCTCCTGACACATGAGGAAACCAAGGCCCAGAGTGTTTACGGACATCTAATAACAAAAAGCAAAGCAGGGAACCGGCTCCGGGGATGTGCTTCCGAAATCCTTGTTCCCATTGCACTCCCAGCCTGGACAGGGCTGGATGGGCTTGAGGGCCCCCGGGATGGGAAGCATGGCCGAGGAGCCAGGGCCGCCCTCTGGAGGGAGGAGAGGTCCAGTTCCTGGGAGCCCCAGTTCCAGGTTGCTATAGTCACTCCTTCTGTTTTCACCCCAAACACAGCAATGGCCGGGGTGAGGGGAGCGTTGCCTGGCTGGACATGTGAGGTTCTTCCTCCTTCCTTTAGGCCTGGGCTTATGGCCCAGGCAGCCCCCGTCCAGTCATCTGGGCTCTGAGCCCAGGCCCAGCTCACACCCTCCGCTGACCCAGGACACTCCCGCAGGGTAGGGCCTGAGGCACTGCTGGACAGGAGCAGCTGGAGGGGGTCCCACCCGGTTGGGCTGAGACCGACCCCTTGCTCTAGCCCGCTCTCTTTCCTGCTCATTAGCCTGCAGTCTTTTCTGCCAGCCCCATTCTGGTGGTTTCCCTCATCTGGACTCAAGTCTCAGCCTCCTCCAGTGTAGGGCTGAGAGGACATCCCGCAACTTCCCCTTCCCCATGGCAGCTCCCTTCCTGGGCTCAGAGCTCTCTGGCCCGGGTTCCCATTGTTTGTGTGAGCTGCTCATGCTGGCAAGCAAGAGGAGGAAGGCAGAACCTGCGAGAGACGGGGACCCAGGGGCCGCTCACCCTGAAGGG